TACCACCTGACATATATCCCTTCCCCACATAGACCCCGCCCTTGGTCAACACGACCTTGTCTGATTCAAACACTATGCGGAAGCCATGCTTGCTTAGGAGAGACGCCGAGACAAGGTTTTTACGAATGTCCGGCACAAAAAGGACATCGTTCAAAGTCAGTTCTTTTCCTGAAGTCATCTTCAGGATCACCTTGCCTTTACCCTCAACAGTTGAGGTTGCAGAGTTTCTTATAAACAACTTCTCCCCGTTTGAAACCGGTTCGAAAGTTGTGAACATTCTCTTCTCTGCACAAATATGGCGAGTGGCCCCAGTGTCCACCCACTACTCCCTCGGGTTTGACCCCACCATGTTCACTTCTGACACGATGGCTGATAGATGCATGTCGTCCACATCGTGTGACAATTCCTCCATTTCAGCTATATGTGCCCGGTTTTTGTGTTGGGGAAGGTTTTTCCTATAGGGCTTCTTCTTCAGACAATCAACTGTCTGATGCTCGTCACTTCCACAGTTGAAGCATTTGCCATCGAACCTAAAAGTAGGCTCCATTGGCTTGTAGGCTAGCCTTTTGGAGATTCCTCCTCTAGCCCCAACTTTGAGCTTTTGCCTGTCGGTGGTTTTTTCCTCGCCCTCGAGGACTCGCCATGCTCAACCATGTTGGCTTTGATAGTGGAGGTACTCCCTCATTTCTTCATGTTGTCTTCTTCAATCCGGAGCCTGACAACGAGCTCTTCGACTGTCATCTCCTTTCATTTGTGCTTCAAGTAGTTCTTGAAGTCTTTCCAGCCGTTAGGCAGCTTCTCAATCAAAGCAGCTGTCTGGAATGACTAGGACCATCCCTTCTACATGTATCTCGTGCAGAATCACTTGGAACTCTTGGACTTGACTCAAGACAGTTTTAGAGTCCACCATCTTGAAGTCCAGGAACCGGCTGACGATAAATTTTTTTACTCCAGCATCCTCGGTCTTGTACTTTTTGTCCAAGGCATCCCACAACTCCTTAGCCGATTTCTTGGCATAGAACACATTGAAAAGCGGATCCGCCAAGCCGTTCAGAATGTAATTCCGGCATAAGAAGTCTGCTTATTTCCAAGCGTCTAGAGCCATGAGCTTTTGTTATCTTGCTCATTCTCCTCTACGGCTGGTACATCTTCACTCAGAAACCTCGCAAGACTTAGAGTAGTCATATAAAACAGCATCTTCTGTTGTCATTTCTTGAAATTCACTCTCGTGAACTTCTCTGGGCGCTCGTGATGATTGAGCGGTCCTCCCGGAACAGCCGGAGTAACAATAGGAGGATTGACCACAGAGGTCACAGCAGGGGTTGGCAAGCCAGTCGCCCCGGGGTTCGGATCCCCACTAACATTAGCAGCAGCAGTAGCAGCATCAAAGACAGTTGCTATTTCTGAAAAATTACAGTAGAATTTTCACTATTCTGTATTTCCAGAAATCAAACTTAACACTAGAAAATCCTACAATTAGAAATTTAATTCAAAACTAGTCTCACCACGCAACCTAAAATCGAACATGGTCAGGAAAGTTTCCAGGAAGACTGGAGGGGTCACACCGGTCCCACTTAAAACTCAGTTAACCTTAGACAAAACTTTCAAGAGCATGTTGACTCCTAGTCCATGGGAAACAACTTTAAGAATTAAATTTTCCAAGGGATGAACTAGGTTAAACACACCAAGTTCCAAACTGTACAAGCAATTACAACAAAATTGCTACAATAATTACAAGCAAATAAAACGTGCTTTACATATTGGCGAATAACCACAAATGAACACTCAAGCAAACAATTGCTTCAAATATTTAGTCCAAATTAATCCTTTTTCCCATTTCCATAGGTATTCCTGCAATAAAGAGTTAGCAGCAAAATACAACAAAACCTCCCTCAGCTTTTCTTTGCTTTTGGTAAAGTAGTGATTGAAAGGGAGGGTACTAGTAAACAAACTAATAAATAACTGTAAAAAATTAATTACATAATAAACATGTAATTAACTTTATAAGTTACAGACCTAAATTAAATATAATTAAACCATATTTTAAATTGGTAAATGTTACATATGAACTTATGATACACTAAACATGTAATTAATTGAGGCGAGTTACAAACATTTTATAACTCATAAATACTTAAATCACATTACTAGGCAAGAATTGCAAATGACATGATTAACATGCAAATAATTCTAGAGAAATTAACATGAATTTAAATATAGGCAAGCTATAAACTTTACAACTCCACACCTAAATTAAAGATTAATAGGTACAAGTTACATGAAAATTTACTATCCAATAAACATGCTAGAAATGTAATTACACTAAAAATTAAACCCGAATGAACATGTAATTTATATTGTAAACTAGAAGCATGTGAACTAGAAGCATGTAAATCTAGAAATACAAGGCATGAACCGATACGCCATAAATTAATAAATTAATTAGAAAATACAGTGAATTAACGTTACACCAATCAAACTCTTCTTCCCTATTGATAACAGTGGCCTATTCCATGCCATGGGAAGACCAAAAGTAGCATACACACAATGGCAAAATCAAAAGCTTAACCCTGTGTACATGCATATAATAAACCAATTAGCTCGCTAGTACTACCAGTGGCCAATTACATGCAAAATTATTACACACACCTATGAATCTATTAATCTAATTCTATGATAAATGTCGAATCTATTGTAAGCTTGTTGGGAAAAACTACTCACATTACATAATTTCACATTGCATATCGCAAAATTATGAGATGAACAAAACAAACCTTCAATCCCAGGAAAAATAAAATACTGAATAAAATACAGATAAAATATAAAATGGTTAAAGGAAGCAAACCGAAGCCTGTGTGATACCACAGTCTCCTTAAAATAGATTCGCCGCCTCACCGTTGGGTGCTGGAGGTACGCCGGCGTCTACTTCCCAGGATACGATGGTTTTTACCAGCTACAACAGAAGCACCTTCTGATTAGCTTAGCGAACAGACAACGACAGCACTCTCTCTCAGGAAGAAAATTATAGGAGAAGTAGACTGACAGTGTATGAATGTCAAGGAAAAATTTTATATCTCTTTCCGATGAATAGGGCCTTCTTTTATACACCATGGGGGAGAGGGGAGGAGCCTCTAGCCATCAAGGCTGGCAACTAATGCTAGCAAAACTGCCCAAACAATTTTGTAAAACTGATGAGCCTTAAATGTGTGAGTTATATACACATTTATGAGGCAATTTCTTATTCAACCATTTTTCTCCAACACTATCAACTCATTAAAACTGATTTTAAAACTCAAGAATTCTCCAACACTATATACACATTTATGAGCCTTAAATGTGTGAGTTATATACACATTTACCTACCTTTTTAGCCAAATAGCCAAAAAGTTACTAAATTAGCATGTTCCCAAACGAGGCCTTAGAATTGCAAAGCGTTTTTCAAAGTTTTAATCCACCTACCTATAAAGGAAAGTTATTAATGGATATTTTACCAATTATTTTATTAAATATTTCACATGTGAGACTTATATGGTGTGAGACTCACATGATATAAGTCTCACATTTATGCGAGATATTAAATAGTACATTTAGTAAAATATTTAGAATTTCTAACATTTTTCTTAATTGATGCAGGTATCATCAAGTAGTGTCCAAGATGCTGCAATGGGAAAAAAATATGAAATTTATGATTTTGTATTAGATAATTAAATAAGAAGACATGAAAATTTATAATTGATGAGAATATTGCCACGTTGAACCAGTAGAGCACAAAATAATTTTTTAAGTAATACTAAAAATTTCAAATATTTTACTAAATATTTTATATGAATGTGAAACTCATATATGACTTTGTTTTGGCATATAAGGTTTGGGTTAAAATAGTCATAAAAAGATAAAATAAGTTTTTTAGCTTAATAAGACAAAACATCACATTAAAACCATAATCATTTCATTTTTTTCCTTATAAAAGTCAAAAAAATCTAAATTTTTTTTATCTAAAACGAGATTTTTTAATCCCAAACTAAAATAGGCAAAAAACTAAAAAATTAACACACATCCCAAACGAAAGCATAATATGAGCCCTACACTTATATAAAACATTTTACAAACAAACATATTAAAAATCTCAAAAATTCTATCAAATGCCTCACGTAAGACCTACATTATATAGATCTCATACCTATATAAAATATTTAGTAAGCCATCGTTTGGGAAGATGGTTGGGTGGGTTTGGGGCTAAAACAGCCACAAAAAACAAAATAGTCTTTTTAGTCTAATAAGACAAAACATCACATCCAACCCATAATCATTACATTCATTCTCTCACAAAAAAGTTAAAAAAGTCAAAAAAGCCAACCCACTTTCCAAACCAAGCTTTAAAAGTTCTGTTAGATTCTTAGTATCACTAGCAAACTCATACCATCTTATCTTTCCGACCAATGATCAAATCCAATCGTCAAAAGTCTATACTAGATTGAAAGCTTCATCGGTTATTATTAAGTCAAAAGTCTACACTAGATTGAAAGCTTCAGCGGTTATTATTAATAAGTAGTTTATAAAGATTTTTAGTCTGGTTGTAGTAGATACTTTGGACTCGATTTTTCTGCATTTCCTGAAGAATCTTGGGAAGTTTTTCCACTCCCCCATGCATCCGCTCCAACATTGACACGATCGGCTCCACCTGTTCAGGAGCAGGTTGCCTAAGATGCTCCTCGTTCTCCAATTCGCGGATGAGACATAATCATTACATTTCTTCTCTCACAAAAAAATTAAAAAAGTTAAAAAAGTCAATCCACTTTTCAAACCAAACTTTTTAATCTTAGACTGAAATAATCGAAAAAGTCAAAAAATCAATCCACTTCTCAAACGAAATCTAAATTTTTTTAAGATTTTCAACATTACCCTTTTAAAAAAACATTTCGGTCCTAACATTTTTCTAATTTTCCACCCATAAACCTCATCTCTTGCGCGCGCGCGCGCTCTCTCTCTCTCTCTCTCTCTCTCTCTCTCTCTAAGGTTTTAACCCCTCTCTCTTCCATCAATTCTCTCTCTCTCCTCCACGTAGACGTATTCAAGCTTCTCTGCCTGCATCCATGGCGTCTCTCTTCGCAAAGCTCAATTTCACACCCATCTCCCACTCCTCTGCCCCCACCCCAACTCGCTTCCTTCTCCATTCCTCAATTCACCCCAAAACTCGAACCCCATTCGCCTCCATCCTCTGCTCCTCCGTCACTCGCCCAAACTACATCCCCAACCGCATCCCCGACCCCCGCTACGTCCGCATCTTCGACACCACCCTCCGCGACGGCGAACAGTCCCCCGGCGCCACCATGACCAGCAAAGAGAAGCTCGACATCGCCCGCCAGCTCTCCAAGCTCGGTGTCGACATCATCGAGGCCGGTTTTCCTGCCTCCTCCAAAGACGACCTCCAGGCCGTCAAAGTCATTGCTCAGGAGGTTGGTAATGCTGTGGATGAGAATGGGTATGTGCCTGTGATTTGTGGTCTCGCGAGGTGTAATAAGAGGGATATTGATGCGGCTTGGGAGGCTGTGAAGTACGCCAAGAGGCCGAGGATTCATACTTTTATCGCCACGAGCGAAATTCACATGGAGTTTAAGCTGAAGATGACGAGGGAAGAGGTGATCGAGACGGCGCGGAGTATGGTGAGCTATGCGAGGAGTTTGGGTTGTGAAGATGTGGAGTTCAGTCCAGAAGACGCTGGAAGGTCGGTTTTTGATCATTGATGAACTCAATTGTTTGGCTTGGTTCATTATAGTTTAATTGATTTTATGAAAGCATAGTGGCTTTACAATCTATTTGATTTTATAGAGCTAACACTCTATTTGGATGGGGTGATTTGATGAGAAATGACTCTTTCTCATGTTTGGTTTATAAATTATGTGAGAAATGGTGAGACAGATAACACTCTTAATTTGTTTTTTTTTTTTTCACAAAAAGTGGTGAGTTTTGGTGAGAAACAAGATGATTGGTTATAAAGATCAGCTTATAGAAAGGCATACTCTTTCTCATATAATTTAATTTATGAACATGAATGGGTTGTTTGTTATCGAAACCATTCTAGCCTTGCTCAAACTGTTGATTTTATAAACCATTCTAGATGATTTATAGTAACAGAAATGTTTTTTATCATATTATTTATTTATTTTTTATGTAATGTGACATGGGTAGGCTCATAAAGGCTACAACCCACTATGAACAACCCAGGCCTATCACTTAGGGCCCAATACATAATCCAATTAATGAAGTCCAGCACTGCTGAAGCCCCACATAGTAATAAGAATGAATGGCATCAAGACACATGGCAAGAGAAGGGCAAGCCACAGCAGCAGACAAAGATCTGCAAAGTTATTGCTACGCCACATCGCCATTAATGAGGCCCCTTACAGCATTTATTGCGATAACCCCTCTCCGTCAGGACACCACGCCCTCACCCTGAACAAGTAAGCTACAACATAGACTTTCGGCCAAGATGACAGGTCGAAAGGGACAACGAAATGATTACCAGAGGATATAAGCAGGTCTTGAAGACAAGAAGAAGGTTAAGCTTTTGTATCTCTACTCCATCTCTACACTTCACTTCTCTCTCTCTAACTTGTTCGTCGGAGGGTTTGTTGAGTGACTCCTCGTTTCCCGTTGAACTCTTGTGCAAGTCTTCAGGTGGGCTTGGTCATTCGGACATAGGCTTAAGGAGCGTGGATCAGTCCGACCCGTTCTATCATCACGAACTGCACCATCAGTTGGCGCCGTCTGTGAGAACATCTTACTTCGTGCGCCAGTTGTGCTCATTGTTGCCAGAGGCCCTTCCCCAATAACCCTTTTCCTACCACTTGCCAAGGTGTATGGTCACGACTAGATCCATGGCTTCTCACCCCAATGTTCCTGATCACCAAGCCGACCCCCCCAATCCAAATAACCTACCACCGTATTTCACCGAGCTCACCAACAGCATTAACCACTTGGCCGAGCAAAACCAAGCCCTGATTAATGCTCTTCTCCAAAGAAACCTTCCTATGCCGCCTCCTCCACCACCCCCAGATATTCCCCCCAACCAAGAACGAGCCCCGAGCCATACTATCCTGCAGCCTAATCCACCAAACTTGGAAGGCTTACAACCTCCTCCCCCAAATATAAATCCACTACCCCGACCCCCACATCCATTGGTCCCGGCACCAACCCCTGAAGGAGAGGCCAGTAGCGTTCAGCACCCGCTGCCCTCCGGTGGTGACAACATTCCTCTCTGGGACGCAGAACTCCGAGCCATGAAGCTCCAACTGCAAGGGGTCATGCAGAACATCCAGCATAAACCCTCTACCATAGCCAACTCGCCATTCGTGGCTTCCATTCGGGATAAACCTCCACCCCCCAAGTTCAAAATGCCCACCATCGACTCTTTTGACGGTACGACGGACCCGGTCGACCACTTGGAGACCTACAGGACCCTCATAATCCTCCATACTTTTCCTGACGAAATCATGTGCCGAGCTTTCCCCGTGACACTTAAGGGGTCAGCTCGACTTTGGTTTAGTCAACTGCCAGCAGACTCCATCTTCACTTTCCAGCACCTCAGTGACTCTTTCCTCAGCCATTTCATTGGAGCCCAGCGCCAGCGGCGTCCGGCAACCCAACTCCTCAACATCCGTCAGACCGAGGGGGAGTCGCTACGCAGTTTCGTTACCCGCTTCAATACCGAAGCCCTGCAAGTAGCGAAAAATGATGACAAGGTCATCCTTACGGCTTTCATGGCCGGTCTGCGATCGTCTGACTTTCTTTTCTCTCTCTCTAAAACCCCCCCGACCTCCATGGCAGCCCTACTCTCCAAAGCCCAAAAATATATAAATGCTGAAGATTCCTTAGCCGCCCGGCAAGATCCTATAACCAAAAACCCAACCCCCAGAGAAAAGAGAAAAGATTCAGAAACCAGAAATACCCAGTACAATAACCAAACATCTCAGTACACTGACTGACCCCCCAGAACCGACCGGTCGGCCCTAGCCCGACCGCCCGGCCGGTTCGAGCGGTACACCCCCCTAAACTCCCCCATGGAACAAGTCCTCCATCAGATCCAGCGGGACTACCCCCTAAAATGGCTCCAACCATCACGGACTCCTTCCAATCGGAAAGACCAGTCCAAACATTGCCGTTTTCACTAGGATCACGGCCATAATACCAAGGAGTGTGTTAACCTCAAAGATCAGGTCGAGGGCCTGATTCGTCAAGGACGCCTCATCCAATTCACGGATACTCGTCCTCAGCAGAAGCAGCGGACTGAACCCATCAGAAACAACCACCGGCGTACCCCTCCCCAACAGCCAGCACAGCCTAACCAAGGTCATGATCGCCCTCCACAGCAACCTCGGGCACAAGGTAACCCCGCCCCACCTGTTGGAGAAATCAGAGTTATCTCCGGCGGTCTTGCTTGTGGAGGACCATCCCGGTCGGCTCAGCGGGCAGATCTCAGGAAAATAAGGCAGGGCTCAGACAAAGAAGTTGCCATGTTGGACCGACCCTCCAAACACCCTAGGCAGTGGACCGAGCCTATCACCTTTATGGATGCCGACTGCACAGGCATCCGTTATCCTCATGACGACCCTCTCGTCATTTCCGCCCTCCTCTCCAATTACAAGGTTAGATGGGTTCTCGTCGACAACGACAGTTCTTCAGACATCATCTTCCTCAATTGCTTCTGCCAGCTCAAGATTGGGGAAGAAAGTCTGTCTCCCTTCCAAACCCCTTTGGTCGGTTTCACTGGCGACCGGGTGACCTCCATTGGCTCCATCGATCTTCCTATCACAATTGGCGAGTACCTGCAGCAGACCACAAAGTTGCTCACCGTCCTTGTTGTTGACTGCCTCTCTGCCGACAACATCATCCTTGGCCGCACTACCCTAAATGCTTTCCAAGCTATCACATCCACTTACCACCTTGCCATCAAGTTCGCCACCGATCTTGGGGTCGGAATAGTGAGGGGAGAGCAGACCGTGGCCAGAGAATGTTATGTCGCCTCACTTAAAGAAGTCAAGCTGAAGGAGGCTATGATCATTGAAGGACTCGATGTCAGAGATGAAGACAAGCTGGTCAGAGGGGAACCAGTGGAGGAGCTCGTCGAAGTCCTCGTCGACCTCACCAACCCAGCCAAAACCGCCAAGATCGGCAGCCAACTATCCCCCCAAGCCAAGGCCGACCTCACTGCCCTTCTGGTTGAACACAACGACGTGTTTGCCTGGACTCACTCCGATACGCCGGGTATTGATCCCTCCTTCATCAGTCACCGTCTCAGTGTTGAGCTCCATTTCTGACCTATCCGCCAGAAGCAGCCCATTTTTCACCCGGAATGGAATAACCTTATTGCTTCTGAAGTAGACAAACTCCTTGAGGCACAGTTTATCACTAATGTGGACTACCCCAGATGGCTGTCGAATGTGGTTCTGGTTCGTAAAAACAATGGTAAATGGCAACTCTGTGTCAACTACTCTGACCTCAACCGAGCTTGCCTCAAGCATAGCTACCCTCTCCCTCGCATAGATCTGCTGGTCGACGCCACGGCCGGTCATCAAATGCTCAGTTTCATGGATGCCTTCTCTGGATACAACCAAATCTTGATGCACCCATCTGACCAGGAGCACACCTCCTTCATCACCGACCGAGGCACCTACCGTTGCCGTGTGATGCCATTTGGGTTGAAGAATGCCGGGGCCACTTACCAATGGTTGGTCAATGCCGTCTTCCATCATCAGATAGGCTGGAACATGGAAGTATATGTCGATGACATGCTGGTCAAGAGCAAGCTCTCCACCGATCATCTGGCCGACCTGCGAGAAACCTTCGCCACCCTACGAAAGTACCAGATGAAGCTCAATCCGAAAAAATGTGCCTTCGGCGTAGGATCTGGGAAGTTTTTAGGATTCATGGTCAGTCAGCAGGGCATCGAGGCTGACCCCGAAAAGATCAAGACCTTAATCGAAATGCAGTCACCCAGAACGGTCAAGGAGGTTCAGAGGCTTACTGGTCGAGTGGCCGCCCTCAACCGCTTCATTTCCCGAGCAATGGATAAGTGCCTCTCCTTCTTCAAAGTCTTTCGGCAAACTTTTGAATGGTCGGCAGAATCTGAAGAGGCCTTTCAACAGTTGAAACAGTGCATGGCTAACCCCCCTACTTTCTCAAGCCATCATGAGGGAACCCCTCTTCCTCTATCTAGCCGTGTCACACACTGCAGTTAGTGCAGCACTCGTTAGGGAAGACAGCTCTGTCCAGCGACCGCTCTACTACATCAGTTGGGCTCTTCGGGGGGCGGAACAGAACTACCAATTGTTAGAAAAAATGTACTTGGCCTTGGTCACCACCTCCAGATGACTCCGCCCTTACTTCCAAGCCCATTCCATAGTGGTCCTCACTGACCAACTGTTGAAGAAGATAATGCAACAACCAGAGCTTTCCGGCAGGGTTATGCAATGGTCGGTCGAACTCAGTCAGTTTGATATCTCCTACCGGCCTCGGACAACAATTAAGGGACAGGCTGTTGCCGACTTCATCCTGGAATTCACTAACCTCACCCCAGCCACAACTCCTCCACCCCACCAACCCCTAGCGAGCCAAAAGACCCTCATTCTTGGACCCTCAACGTCGACGGATCATCCCGCAAAGAAGGCAGTGGGGTTGGTCTCATCCTCACCGCCCCTGACGGTGGTTATTTCAAATGTGCTCTCCGTTTCCTGTTCGATGCAAGCAATAATGAGGCCGAATATGAGGCACTGATAGCAGGTCTTCGCCTAGCCAGAGACATCGGTGTCAGCCATATCCAGGTGTTCAGC